CGTGCAAGCGTGCGTGCAAGCGTGCGGGCAAGCGTGCGTGCAAGCGTGCGTGCGTGCGTGCGTGTGTGCGTGCAAGCGTGCGTGCAAGCGTGCGTTCGGGCGGGCGGGCGGGCGGGCGGGCGGACGTGCGCGGCATTGCGGGATGTTCCGCCAGTTGCTATGATGGTAAAAACAACCGTTTTTTCATCAAGATCGACATCATCATCATCATCATCATCATCATCATCATAATCATCATCATCAGAATAGCCACCTGGTCCCCTCACACTGACTTCGGTGTGGATATCACTCGATCTCGGCACCAGGCTTCGCAAGCTCCATCAACTTCACACGCTTCTCGTTGGAAGTGGTGTAACCTCCGCGAACTATCCTTGTTCTCCGTTGTCGCACTTAAAAGTTTTGGGAAGCAGGCGGCTGAGATGCCATGTCGAATGAAATCAGAACAGCATCCGAATGGGAAGACACTGAGGACGTATACAATGTGCTCTGTCGCAACATCATCGTTGCAAGAATTCGAATTAACATGAGTGTGCCTTTGCTGACAGCTAGGAAGTGCAAGACGTCTGCACACTCGAACAAGAAGACTTCCGAAAACAAAGAATTTTCAAGCCCTGAAGCCTCAAGCCCACAGAAGTAAATACCGTTACATTGGCTACACCACTTGTGCCGGTGCCTGTGGGATTGTGGTGCACAGGCCTTGGATTTTCAGAATGGTCCAAGCCAGCTCATCAGTAGCTGGTTTTGTTTACCAACTACTTCATTCTGGAAGCTTGTAGTGTTAAGACTGATGCACGACAGGTTTCTAGACTCTGCTGCAAAGGGCTCCGGAGAGTCCAGGATACCGGGAAAGGGTAGCTTTTCCGGGGCGGCCGACACTCAGTCAGTCCATTGTGGTTGTTGTTGCTGCTGTTGTTGTTGTGGCTGTTGTTGCTGTTGCTGTTGTTGCTGTTGTTGTAGTTGTAGTTGTAGTTGTAGTTGTAGTTGTAGTTGTAGTTGTAGCTGTAGTTGTAGTTGTAGTTGTAGTTGTAGTTGTTGTTGTTGTTGTTGTTGTTGTTGTTGTTGTTGTTGTTGTATTAG